TGCTTTCCACTTGGCTCTTCTCCTCGCTGGATATAGTGTTGTATAAGTCCAGCATGAAAAGCGGAGCGGAGTTGTACTTTCCGTTTGACAAATGCGGTCTCGGTCTGTGGGGCAGCCCCAGGATGGACAGGATCTCCTTCTGCATCTCCCTCTTCTCGTGCGTCCTCAGCCGCCGGTGGGTGAAACCTGCTTGAACCTCGTTATTTCCATCCAGTGAATAATTACTCCCCGCGACTGTGAACATGCAGTAATAAGCGCTCCACCACAATCCAACTAAGGCAAGCCAGCGGATGGTCATGGTGTTGTCCCGCAGTGGCTCTCCGGAGTCCCAAGAGTGGCTGACTTGGAGCTTCAGTCGCCTATCAGAAAGTAAAAATGCGCGTAATGGTAACCAAAGTCCGTCCGAGCGCGTTGTGATCTGTGGCAACCAAAGATCAAAAGCAAAGAAAGAATCGTGTATCAAGCCATTTAAAAGACTCGCCAAAGCAAAATGCGCATAATAGTATTGGCCCAGCTTTCATTTCTGATCGCCGTAGCGCGCTTGGCTCCTTCAGGATAAAGTGCACCATGTGAAACTTAATTCTGAGCGCTCCAGTAAGTCGGTCAACAGACACCGTCTGATGTCACATTTACCAGAAGAAGGAGAACAACTCCTCTGACAGAAGCCATGTTACTTACAGCGGATATATCTACTCGCCTGGATTTATGGCTTTTCCAAAGCTGCGCACTGCGTCCTTAAACTGTTCGAAGCGCTCTCAGCGACAGTCACCTACTCCCACAGTCGGAGTGTCAGAGTCTAACAGGAATCAGCAGGTTGCAGTCCATAATATGCGTGCGCACGGACGTGTTCAGCGCTTTAACCGCCCACTCTGTGCGCTCTCAGCCAGAGGTGGAGCTCTTTTTAGGCTGCAAACACGACCTAACATCGTATTTCCAGATTTTATTAACAGCCTGTTTGTTTTAATAAAGCTGTCAGGTTTGTGAAGCACGAGATGCGCTCGTTATTTTACACTTTCCGTGTCAGGACTTGACGGAAACTCTGCTTCTGCGTCACACTTCTACGTGTAATAAATAAGACTGCTGGGGTCGATCTCACACTTTTGATCGGAGCAAACCATACTCCAAAATGACCTGTTTTTAACGAGGTTTTTAGAGTTGCGATGCGGGAGCTTGAATCAATAAATGTGCTAAAGCGGGGGTCACACATTTACACGTTGTCCTGTTGAGGCACGACCCCTAACGATGGAGTCTGAAACAGCAAGTAAAGCGCTCACAGCAGCTACAAGCGAGAAGAGCCCGCACCTTCCTGTTACCGCCGCTGGAAATAACGCGAACAAATTGCGCAATGGCTAATTTGGCCGAGTTGACACTTGGAAAACAAAGTCCTGACGTAAGAATTTTAACTTTTTTTCTTTTGCTTCTTTGTACAGTCTGCGGTCGTACATTCATTTCAAACTAAAACAATAAAGTAAATATTTAGTTCCCAGTCTCAGCTTCGAGTGGGTTTACAGCAAAATAGAAGTATCTGCGTGGCAGACACGGGGTTTTTAAACAGCACAGAGTCCAGAGTTAAAGGGTTCAGAAATATTTGCATGAATAAACACAGATTTAATGAACATCTGAATATTTAACACTGGCTGTGCAAACCCACACACTTCCCCGCAGCTGGATCTAAATGGACTGGTTCTTATATCGCGCTTTTCTACTCTGAGCACTCTTCTCCTCGCTCATACTTACCTCATTCACCCATTCACACCCATCCATTCCCAATCTATGCTATTTCTTTCAAAGGGCTTTTTATCTAACATTCACAGACATTCAAACATGCTCCAGTTGTGTATTTACTTCACATGCATGGTCAGCTCCCTGCTCCTCATAGGACAGTAACTTAATGATATCTCTCACTCAGCTCTGTAGGCTCTTTTGTGAATGAAATGATGATGAAACAACATCTGCCCACGGTCACAGCTAAGAGTGTGTTCTTAGAGGTGAACCTTTGTGATTTAACTCCCCCGAAATTCAAGTCAAAATTCAAATCAAAAGTGTTCAAAGACAGAGTATTTGTTGTGATTTGAACAATACTGGTCACTAATTACTTAAAAGTATTTTTAAGTGCCATACTATACACAAATACACTCACCTGTTCTCTATTATTTAGTTTTTTTGTAAATAATAGTAGGTATGCTTCTTTTCTGGGACATTATTTCACTTCCTCACTTCAGATGAATCGATAAAGCAATTTTAATACTTTGCGAATTAAAGTCATACATTTAAACCCTATAAAATATAGTGCTTAACATTATACCATAGCCACCTATGTCTCCTATATGTGTCACAAATGCACTGCAATGTGCTGCTGTAGTATTTAGTGCTTTTATAGTCTCTAATATTCCATTGAAAACAGCATGGACCTCATGCATTTGGATGTACTAAAAAAAAATAAAAAATCTCCCATGCTATTTTAGTGTACTAAATAATATGTTGCTTTGGTATTTCAGAACCGGCCTAACAGAACTCGGCTAAACGTGCTCCAGAAACAGAAAAGGAATTCTCTAAAATTCCTCTTCTGTCTTTTCCTGCCCTCTCTCCATTCCCCCTAACCTGTGTTATGTCTTCCTGGTCCCTTCAGTCTGTGATGGACCGGGTGATAAGGTCCAAAGGTGTCCATATCGTTCTGAGTCTCTGCTACTGCTGCTGCCAGAGCTTATCTAATCTGTATGTGAAGAGTGAGATCCAGCATCAAAGCTACACATACCACCACCACCACACAAACAGACACATACACTCACACATCTACTGCTGGGGAGCTTCCAGACTAAATACCACACCATCAATCCCATACAGCTGAAAGAAAACCTAACATTGGGGAAGGGCGTGTGTTTTTCAAATGTCATTGTCTATTCGCTATACTCACTCTACACAGTTCTCCTGATTTGAAATAGTTGAAAACATTTATCCCGCCTACCCAACATGAAAATAATCCAGAAAGACTTGTCATACATAAAATTATGTGTTTTGAAATGCAAACTGATCCATCTCTGAAATAACAGAAGCAGGGCTAAAGATGCTGCGCTGCACTGACGGAGAACCAGCTGTCCCACGGACGTCATTTATCAGCTTTTTTCAGTTTTTCTTGGAATCCAAGATCTCATTTATCTGAGCTGGAGCTAAGTCCTGATTTATAACACAGGCCGTGGGTTAAGCCAAGTTTGAGCACACAGACACATAAAAGTAACCCTTTCACTGGGAACGATTTTGTGAATGGTAACTTTTTTCCTTCCAGTTTTTTTTTTTTAAAAGATGCTTTTTTGGCTTGAATGCTAAACAGAGAAACAGGGAACGAGTCAGGGTAAAAGCACGAAAGGAAAGGGTTCATTTATGAGAATGAATCAGCCGATGGCAACACCATGAAGTCCATGATTTAAAGTCTTTATGGACCATTAATTTTAGGCATGTGTCTCAATAAACAAACACTACCCTGCTCCCCAAAAACAATTCAGAGCTCTTCTTGTCTTTCGCAGAGCTTTCATAGCAACCAGCATAACAAGCCGCACAGGCACACATTTACTTTAAAATAATATGAAAAGATATCCCTCGACATGTTGTGTGTGTGAGTGAGGGTGTGTGTGCGCATTCCCCGAGGCAGCGCAGGTGATATGTGTGCATGCTGGGTGAATTGGAAGCAGAGGGAGGAGGAAACATTAAACAGAAGTTCTGTGTCCTGTCATCACACTGTCTAGACAGGACACCTCCTAGACCTAATGAGGTCTTTGTCTGTCTGTCTCTATTTTACTCTTGCACACACACGCACATACGCACATACGCATCTATATACTCCTTTAAATCTTCCCATGAGACATTTTTATTTAAGAGGTCACTGAGGAGTTCAAACAAACTTTCATGCAGAGAGAACCAAGTTGTTGTTTTTTTCTCAAGAATCTCCAACATGCTAAATTAAGGGGAAGTATGCGCCAAAGCCACAGGAATGCTTAACCTGGCACAGACCTGATAATAAGCGCTAAATTTTCTGCAGTAATTGTATTGCTACAGTTGCTAAATCACACACGCACCCACACACATGCAAGCA